ATTAGGAGTAACCTGTGCCTAGAGGCTAACAGGATTTTGTTCTCACAGCACAGCTACGAAGGCCTCTGCTAGTATAATGATGTGGGTTAGAAAGGTGAGGGTCTATGCCCTTATCAATATATAGGTTCATCCTGTAGTAATGCCATTACAGCAGTAAGCTTGCATGACTTCTGTCTAGCTGCATCCATTCAGAAGCTCTATGCTTCATGTAATGAATGTTTTTCCCACTGCCATTGATTACGGTGGAAGTGTTTCTATTGCAAACCAACTTCACAGAGCAAGTTTATTAAACTGTTATTAAACTGTCTGAGCTTCTGCATTTTTGCTATTTATTTGAGCTACCAGACACATTCAGACATTTTCCAAACACACTCAGAGTTATGTTCTTTACCTTGGAAATAACTGAGGAAAGGCACTGTTTATTCCTACTGCCTGAGGGAAGTGTATCTTTGCTATACACTATTCTCCTGAGTAAGGATTTCATCAGACTGGCATTAATGCCTGTAATTACATCAAATACCAGAGGGTAGCTCTTAATGAATTTCACCCCACCATAATTTCCAGGAAACCATCTCAGAAGCTGCCCTCAGTAATTTACGCTTGGTACTTTGTCCACCACGCTTATGAAATATTCACAGCTAACATCATGGCTGTCAGCTAACAAGCTTTAGCATGTTTTATTGACAGGTGGTGAAATCTCATCTCCCAAACTTCCTACCTCCTTGCAGCAATAGCAAGACAATGAGATTCCTTGCTCTTTGGGAGAGCCCCTTGCCAGTCTGTATAAGTGCATAATCACACTCTGTGGGGGAATTGGGCACATGTGCTGTGCAGGAGGGTGCAAGGGTGCAAGGGAAGTGGAGTAGGGTTGAGAATATCTGGGGCCCTCCATCAGCAGATCTGCATTTTGAGACTTTGCCAGTGGGAACAACAAACATATACTGATAGTGAATTACAAATAATTCACATTTGATATTTTGCAGATATTTGCTAACTCCTTGAATATCTGGTAGGAAGCTACCATCTCCTCCTCCCTTGAAGGCTCACCCTGGCAGCTGTCAGCACTTACTTTGCTCAAATGAGAAAGAATGGGGACAAGATAAGCAAGTTTGTACTTAGCCCACTGCAAGAATATTGCCAAATTTCCCTGCTGAAACAAAGTCATCCTGTTTACAGAGCTTCATGTTCCATGGTACCAGCAAAATGCATTTCAATTCAAATAATGAAAAATGGATCCAAATTTACAATTAATTAAAAAAAAAAGAAGGAAAAAAAAAATCTGAGGCATTTTTATTTTGTTGGTTTAGGGTTTTACTATCACCAGCCTTTTACATACTTTTGAAGCTGGTTCAAACTCACATTAATAGAGAGGCATTTGACCATCCCGTCATCCTGCCAGGACTTCCAGCAGTAAACCCTGGAGAAAGAGAGAAGTTAAAAGAGCTAATGCCCAAACCTCTACAGCAGGACACATTGGCAGAAGAGCTCCTTGTGCTTGTGGACTAAATTAGAGTGCTGCTTGGTCTACTTCTACTATAGCCCCCATGTACCCTCTCTGGGCTGGTTGAAATCAGTAGATTTCACCATGTTTACCACTGAGGCAGATGGATCACAAAGTGTATCATGCCTTTGATTTCTCTGGTAATTAGGTCGAAGAGAGAGAGAGTAAATGGAGTCCAAGAGCAATTTTCCTTTAAACTGACTAATGATTCATCCTCAGGATGTGACATTAGGGCTGACAAAACTTCTGAGCCAAGATCAGGACTGATCTCATTTCACTGTAGCATGTCATTAATGCAGACTGCTGTTATGTATCAGAAATGTGGTCCTTCAGTGACAGAAAGAATTTGACTCTGATTCAAAAGCTAACAAGAGCCTTGTGTACATGTTAGCAAGATTTTCACTGAAGTAAGCGGTGCCAAAGAAAAGAAGTGGCAGTAACAAACTGCACAACTTAGAAGGATCCAGGAAAGCAGGTACTATTGAGAAAGTGAATTTCTCAGCCCACAAGATACAGACAACCTTCTGCACATCGATCAAAGGGCACAACAGGGCACAAAATGAATCCTGAAACACAGTCTTATGAAGCAAGGGACTTGTAAGCAGTCGGAATCCAGGGAGTCATGGTGCACACTTCTCTCCTGCATGTGTGCTCCATAACAGAGCATCAGCTGTTACCACACATGGCTTGATTTTAGCATGCTGATTTAATGTTTACAGAGTGCCAGTAAAATTTTTATGATGACAGCTGGTGGGTCGTGTGGTAATTTATAAACAGCAACAACAACACAACACAGACATCAGAAAACTCCAAGAGGGATTCTCTACTATTGTGCAATATTTAGCACCGAAGAATATGGGTATTTTTCTAATTTTGCAGACTTTTATTAGTCGCTGTGTAATACATCCACTTTATGTAAAGTCCGTACTACGCAGATAGTATTTCACCTAGGTGAGTTCTTTTCTTCAGAATAGAGTTTACTATAAAGACTCATTATTATCTATCACAGAGTCCAAAATCAAATTATCTGCATTTGCTACTCTGGTAAAAGTGTCATGTAATTTCTGTGTTTGAGTCTTTAAGTTAAATTGGTACACCAAGCACATGATTGCTTGCTTTTCTTCCTGTAGCAGAAATACAAACAAATGGAAACAGATGTTCTCACTACTGAACTTGAGCAGACTACTGCCTTTATTCCACAATCTGTTTACTATGAAAATCCAGGAGTAGAAAAGAGTAAAATACAATCAGTCTGATAAGACTATAGATCCAATGACTGGCCAGTATCAGTATGCCATGACAGCTGGCATCTGACTTGATGAGGACATTATTTGTTTTTCATTCCACGGGAAAATTTCATCTGTCATACTTCCCCTCTTTATTTATTTTTTCCATTGTATTTCCCAAGTCCTTACTCCCCTATCTTGATTTTTTCCCATCTGTATTTAGTCTTCAAAAGGTGAAGTGTTTTCACAAAACCACACATTATGCCTTTCACATATAAATTTGCATGCACAATTTGTAATGGAATGGAGGCTAATTTTGTTGTTGTTGTTGTTACAATGACTTTTCCAGTGATTCTGTTACCTACGTTTTCACCGTTCCAACTCATCACCCTGTTTTCATTGACTTGCTCCTGCAGCCATACATAGATAGCAGCTCCTGAGGTAGCCCCATTCCCTGAGCACAGAGGGTTGTCATTGGCGGTGCAGAGTCTGGTTGGAGACCTGTAACTAGCCGTGTTCCTCAGGGGTCAGCGCTGGGTCCAGTCTTGTTCAGCATCTTCATCAATGACTTTGATGAGGGGATAGTGGCCACCCTCAGCAAGTTTGCTGATGATACAAAGCTGACACACCTGAAGGCTGTGCTGCCATTCAGCGAGACCTGGACAGGCTGGAGAGCTGGGCAGAAAAAAAACGGATGAGGTTCAACAAAATGAAGTGTAGAGTCTTGCATTAGGGAGGAATAATTGCATGCACCAGTATAGGTTGGGGGATGAGCTGCTGGAGAGGAGCTCTGCAGAGAGGGACCTGGGTGTCCTGGTGGATGACAGGTTGGCCATGAGCCAGCAGTGTGCCCTTGTGGCCAAAAAGGCCAATGGCATCCTGGGGTGCATTAAAAAGAGCATGGCCAGCAGGTCGAGGGAGGTGATCCTCCCCCTCTACTCTGCCCTGGTGAGACCTCATCTGGAGTACTGCGTCCAGTTCTGGGCTCCCAGTACAAAAAGGACAGGGATCTCTTGGAAAGAGTCCAGCGGAGGGCCACAAAGATGGTGAAGGGCCTGGAGCATCTCTCCTATGAAGAAAGGCTGAGTGAACTGGGTCTGTTCAGCCTTGAGAAAAGAAGACTGAGAGGGGACCTGATCCAGGTCTATAAGTATCTAAGGTGTGGGGGGCAGAGCGGCAAGGCCAGACTGTTTTCAGCAGTGTGTAGAGACAGGACAAGGGGGAAAACTGGAGCATAGGAAGTTCCGCACAAATGTGACAAGAACTTCTTTATGGTGAGGGTGATGGAGCACTGGAACAGGCTGCCCAGGGGGGTTGTGGAGTCTCCTTCTCTGCAGATATTTAAGACCCGCCTGCACACCTACTTGTATGACCTGGTGTAGGGAACCTGCTTTGGCAGGTGGTTGGTCTCGATGATCTTTGGAGATCCCTTCCAACCCTACAATTCTGTGATTCTGACATACTAGGCATGCTTAGTTCACTTTCCAGACCAGTTTCCGCTATGAGTGTGTATTTTCTGGTTGGAGCAACTTTGGCTTGAAATGTTAACAATTGTCTTCTAAGGCACAAGAAAGTGGATACTGAAAGAAATGAATTAGGACAAGGGCCAAAATTGTAATGAATCATGGAATGAACCATAGAATGGCCTGGGTTGAAAAGGACCACAATGATCATCTACTTTCAACCCCCTGCTATGTGCAGGGTTGCCAACCATCAGACCAGGCTGCCCAGAGCCACATCCAGCCTGGGCTTGAATGGCTCTAGGGATGAATGCTTGAAACCTGCCCAAATACCAACTGACTTTAGATGTTGAGTGCTCTTTTTTCAAGATAACATATAGCTTTTGGAAGAACCTGTCAGTACTAAGGAAAAGCTTTCAGTATCAGTGATGATCACCACACTACTCTTCACCCATTTCTGTGCAAGAAAAGCACAGCAGGGCAAGATCCAACAGCTTCCAGAGGGAACCAGGCCACTCAGCAGATGGGGCTGCCCTGAGGTTGCCAGGAGATCGCATCAGCGATGGGTGCTCCAGGCGTGAGTCCCCAGATGGGAGCACTGAAATCACCTTCCATTACAAGCTGTCTGCAGCTCTGAAGTATTGCTAATTGCCCTCCGGGCAGAACTGACTGCTAAAAACAACAACAAAAAAATTGCTTCTGCGGCCACACTCAACAGCCGCCTCGAACAGGAACGAAGCCAGACGCGCGGAACGCGCACGCCCTAGGCGGACCCGCAGCCACCCGCGCGCATGCGCGGCCGGGCGCGCGGAAGCGGAAGGTGGCGCTCCCGGCTCGCTGCTGCGGCGGCCGCCGTTGGGGAGCGTGGGAGCGGCCGAGCTGGCCCCCGGCGGTTGCTATGGAGAGCAGGGGAGAGGGGGGAGCGTGACCGTGGCCCCTCCCTTCTTCCTCCCGGTCTCGCCCTACGGTTGGTTCCGCCTCGTGCCCAGGGCAGGGAGGGGGGCGAGGGGTCTGGCGGGGGAGACGGTGGGTTGCTGCGGGACTCAGGGGCGGGAAACGCAGTGCCTTTAGCCTGCTTCGTTTAGACGCTTTCATTTTTTTTATCTCTGTTGGTTAGCAAATTGCAGGTCTCCAGACTGAGGTTCTGCTGAAGTAGTGTGTGCTACCTTTGGTCAGCGCCAGGCTAAGACACCTCTCTCGTGTTGGTGATGTGAGGGTGCGGTGAGTGCGTGCTGGCAGCGCGAACCTGGTGGTGCTCGGCAGTCCTTTCGTGGGCGCGGGCGGTGTTCACAGAAACACCTCTCGAGCTGTGTCTGCAACAGAATAACCGGGAGTGTCATGGCTACCTGCCTGCTAACTGCATCGTAACGAGGTCTTAACAGCCAGCTGTTGTATCCGTGCGGAATGCTGGCTGCGTGGGGTTTGGCAGTGGCAGAAATACACTACTGCGTGTATTGGCTGTTCGGATGCCGTTTTTGTTAAGCTGAAGACCTGTGAAAAGCAATGCTATTTCTTGTCTGACACATCTCTTCACTAAAATGGCTTAAAAGTGTAGCTGAAAAGTGATTCAGTCATTTGCTTTAAGTCCACTTTTTTTTTTTTTCTTTCTTTCTTTTTTTTCTCCTGGTAAAGCGTAGTTTTAGTTTTGTAATAGCTGCTTTAGGCAGTAGCTCTTCAGCCAAGTGCAGAAGACTTGCAAAGTTTTAGATGCCAAACCACAGGTGAAGCCATAATAGGCAGAGCCTATTGATTGCTGCACCCTTGCTTTTGCTACCACACATGGAATGTATAGCATATGTAGCAATGAAGGTGGTGAGGGGTCTGGAGCACAGGCCTTGTAAGATGTGGTTGAGGGAGCTGGGATTGTTCAGTTTGGAGAAGAGGGGGCTCAGGGGTGACCTTACTGCTCTCTACATTTACCTGAAGGGAGGTTGTAGTGAGCTGGGGGTCAGCCTCTTCTGTATAATTGGCAGTAGTACTAGAGGGAATGGCCTCAAGTTGTGCTAGGGAAGATTCTGGTTGGCTGGAAGCTGGATGTTAGGAAAAAGGTCTCCTCTGAAAGAGAGGTTAAGCACTGGAATGGTCTGCTCAGGGAAGCAGTGGAGTCACCGACCCTGGAGGTGTTCAAGGAATGTTTAGGTGTGTGTTGAGAGACATGGTTTATTGGGAACTATTGATGATGGTGGATGGTTGGACTGGAAGATCTTGTTGGTCTTTTCCAACCATGGTGATTCTACAAGTGTAAGTTTCTACTTCCTGTTCCTATTTACAGTACTTAGAAAATACTCTTCAGGAAGTGGTGCTTTTCCTCCCCTAAATATGTACTTTATAGAACATACTCTTGCTCAGTTTGTGTGAGTTCTATAAATTGTACTTCAAAGTAACCATGCCAAGAAACATTAATCCATGTAAACATTTGTTGGAGCATTTGTGGAGAAAAGTTTTGGGGAGGTGAGATTTTGCAAGTCTTAGTTTCCATACTGAAGTAGAAGGATTTTTTTTGTGTGTGTATGTGAATCTTGCATTCAAGCAAGTCTGTTACTTCAATTCTGTTTTGTGTGAAGATTTTTCTTTTTTTGGAAATGACATTCTGCCTTCCTGTTTTAGGTTATGGGCTCATTATTCTGCAGATGTCAAGTCAGAGTTCATACTGAAGGTTACTGTACTGAGCAAATACTGTTTATGACAATGTAAACTGAACTGGGGAGAAGGAAGTGGGTTAAGAAAATGCTCTTTATGCATCTTTATGCGTCTCATAATAAATGTATTTTTTGTAAGTTAAAGAATAATTTTTGATCACATAGGAAGGAGTCAGCCATCTTTTTAACCAAAACAATTTTTTTCACAGCCACAGGTGCCATTTCCTTTCAAACGCTTTGTGTTTGAAATGTTTATTTACAATAGGTTGTTATAAATTCTGTTAAGATAGGAAAAAAATGCAAAGCCTTGGGCACATGGGTTTTATCCCAACTTATTTTGTTGGAAAAGTTCTAGGCATTGCACATATGAGTACTGGTGTGTAGACATAAATCATTTGGGTTTTTCTTTTTCAGTGGTTTTGTTGTAAATTGTCTCGTAAACTTCTATCCTGAACATACAGTAATTCTTCTTATAAAAAATGGTACGTACTAAGGAACTAACTGAATTATGTGGGATTGATCTTCCTGTGTTTTGGTATAGGTTTTTTTGAAAGAATGAATACAGACTTTTTTTTTTTTTTAAGAGTATATTTTAAAAGCGAAGACTACAAATTCACTTTGCCTATGAGTTAAATTCAAATCTAGTGTTTTCTACCTAGTCACTGGAATGTGTTTCTGTTTGTGTTTTAATATTTTCCCCCATACTAACCTGTATGAAATACACAGACCAACAGAAGGAGGGAGACAAACAAACTTTGCTAGAAGTCATCATGTTAACATTATCTGTGCAGTATCACTGCCAGAAGTATAAAGGACAACAGATTTATTGTTATAAAAGACATTGCCTGTTACACGTACAGGGAGTACTAGGATGTAGTACTGCAGTTTTCTATTGAACCTTACCTGAACAATCCCATCTAAAATGTGTGTTAAAATTTTGAAATGTTCTAGAACTGAAATTAGAAGAAATAAATTTAGCACCAGTGTAACAGTTCAGATGTGAGAAGCTAAGGAGCTGTGTATCTGTGTAAATAGCTTGAAAGAAAGCTCTGTTCAGTGAGGTAAGATACTGGGATGAAGATCATTTGAGTATCACACTCTTTTCTATATTTCAGAAGCAACAGAAAAGAAGTTCCAGATCTGGATGATGAAAAATTTCCTGGTTTCTATGCTTGTCTTGAGAATGGATCTTTCTTTTGCATAGTTCCAAATTCGTGAAACTTGTCATCAAAGGTAAGTCATTGGTTTGATTTCATTTATTATGAAATTAAATTATATAGCAGGTAGTCATTGAGTAGTAAGAATTTGGGATAAATTTCCATTTTAGGGTTTACTGTTTTTTTCCAAAGTGCTCCTCTCTAGTTACTGCTCACACATTATACTTAGATAAAAGTATATCCACTTACAAGCAAATATTTTAATTCTTGTAGATCTGTTTTGTTTCTTGAGCTGTTATTTCCTTTTCTGAAGATGCAGGTCTTGGAATATTTACTATTCTAGGATGACAGAAACCAAATGGGTTCCCAAGCATTAAGCAGTTTTTCTAGGTTCTTTGAAATATGTTCTATGTGACTTCTTCTTTATAAATCCATCTTAACTGCTACCAGTCAGTTTGTTTCCTGTGTTTTGAAACAGTTTCCAGGAATGTAAGCTGGACCTTCCTGGGCTCAGAAGAAGCGTAATACACCCGTAGTTTCCTTGCTCTTAGGAAATGAAAATGTCACTTGCATTTCTTAGTCCTCAGGACTCTCTCCCATGAGCTCAGCCTTTCAGTGATGAATGTGAATGTCCTCACAATGACATGGACTAGCTCTCTTCAGTGCCTGTCCAAAGGCTGCTCCAAAAGTAATGCCTTCTATTTTATTATGTTGGCGCATGATGTCAGAAGTGGACTTTGGTGGTATGGCAGTAGAGATTGTCAGGGTTTTATGATTTTTTTGCTATTGGTATTCCACATCATAACATCCTGTAGTTCCGTGGATTGTTGGTAGTTCTGTGTGGTGATTCTCAGAAGAGACGAACGACTGCGTATCCCAGGAGACTTTCACTGTTCCATTTCTATTTTCCATTCAGAGGGAAAGATAAAACTGCTCACAAGTCAAGAGTCTGCCCTTTATTTTTCTTCTCATTACTGCATTGTGTGCTCCCTAGCCATTTCACCTTCAGCACTAGAGTAGAGCCTTCAGTTTTGGACACTCTCTCTCTGTATTTGATTTATTAGCTTCAATTCCAATTATACTGTATTGTATTGTGATATATTGCATTCCGATATTATATTTGGTTAGCTCATTTCCACTGTTTTGTTTCTAGGCCAATCTCCATACCTTTTCCCTGCCCACCCCCTTCCTCTTGGGGCGGGAATCCATTTGTTCTCCCTGCCCCATTAGTCATGGAACCAGACCATGCTGGCCCCAAAAAAAGATAGGCAAGGTTGAATCTTCCCTACAATATTCCAGTACATGTTGCTGCTGTGTGACAGATGGCTGCTGAGGGGCAATCTGACAGGGTGGCATCTGACATGGAAGTGCGAGTGAAGCAAAAATATCGAACTGATTTCCTTCATGAGAAAAAAATGGCACCCACTAATGTTCACTGACGCTTACTGAATGTTTGTGGAGACCAAACATTCATGTGAGCGCAGTGTGGCAATGGGTCACGTTGGCTGGTACAGAATTTTACAAGCATGACATACAAGCTCTTGTTCATTGCTGGAAAAACTGCAAAGCTAGTGGTAGTGCCTCTGTTGAATAAATGTGTTTTGTAGCTGAGAAATTGTATTAAATAATGTTACTGTGCTGTTTGTATCTGTTGTAGTTTTATCGGATATAGATAGGTCTCTCCAAAACGTAATGCCTCCTCTGTTGCATCTCACCAGGTGCCATGAAATTTAGTACATTCAGCTTGTTTAGAGGTTTCTTTATCTGTTCATCCCTCACAGTGAGTAAGTCTCTGTGGCTCTACTTTCTCACTGGTCTCAGGGGCCTGGAATTCCAGAAAGCAGGTCTTACTCATGGAGATTGAGTTCAAGAAGGCAGTTTGACCTTTTCTGTGCCCTTTCATCAAGTATTCTGTTCCATTTAGCAGCAGGCCCATATTTACCCTAACCTTCCTAATGCTACTTGCCTGCCTCTGGAGTTCCTTGTTGACTTTATTTCTCACTAGATTCAACACCAGATTCAGCTTCGTATGACTTTCCTAACCCCAGCCCTGTTCATTCAAATATTTTTCTGTATTCTTCATCGGCCACCAGTTTATGCTGCCCCCACATCAGTGCTTCATTTTTATGTCTTAGTTCTGTTAGGACCTCCTTGTACATGTGTGAAGTTCTCCTGCCACTGTTGGTTAGGCTCCTGTGCATGGTGCTGGACCATTCTTGAGCTTGGAAGTAGTCCTTGAACCTGAGCTCTTCTCTAGGTGATAGTCTTACAAGGAGTTCTTCCAAGCAGGTCCTGGTACAGGGCAAGGTCTGTTTTGGAGTCGGATTGTGATCTCACTGTTTGCCTTCTTTCCTCTTTTAACTAAGTCATCAGTACCACCGTCTCATGGATGTCACGCCCAAGGCCACCCCTGACCTTTTCATTCACACCTATTTCTTTGTTGGGAAGCAAGAAGACTAGCAGAGCTAGGCAAATAGGCAGTTGGATTCTGTGTCAGGAAGTTGTTGTCAGTGCACTCCCAAAACATGGATTACTTGAATCCTGCTCTTTTTACTCTTCCATCAAATAGAAGGATGGTTAAATTTGTCCATGTGGTATGGAACCTGTTAGTGTAAGAGCTCTCCCAGCTTTCTGGTTGAAACTTCATCTGCTTTATCAATCCTATGCCAGGTAATCTTTAGTAGACAGCCTCCACAGTGTTAGCCACACTAGTCTTCTTGCTGTACCTGACATTAGCTCAGGATATCTGGCTCAGGATTTGCCCCAAGGTGGAGCTCCTGATGCCCTCTCATGTGAAGGGCAATTTTCTGCTTCACAGTTTCAGTATGTCCTTCCTAAAGTGCCTGTGTTTATCTATGGCAGCACTCTGGTTCCATAACCTATTCTAGCTTGTCTTTGTGATATGAGTGAGAAAGTAATGCCACGCATTTTCATGCAGACCTCTAATTGGTCTGATTTGTTTATACCTGTAGTGGTATGCAGGCACTGCAGATGGACCCCCAGTTATACTGCTTTCCCTGAAAAAGAGTGCAATCTTCCCCATTCAGCCCTGTTTTCTTAATTATAAGATCTATTATCCACATCACCCTGCATGCTTTGTTTGCCTGTTCTGGCCGTCACTTCCTCAATTTGATGCATTCTTAAAGCAAAAATGAGCACTAAAAAAATGAATGCTGTACTTGGTAAAGCACATCATTGTTCTATTGCAACAGCTGTCAAGGGGTTATGATAAATTGTAGAAACATCATCTTATTTGGGTTTGAGTTTATTCTTTCTCTAGATAACTATCTAAAACAAGGCATTAATGAAACCTGTGGATAGTGTTAAAAAGAGAAGGTGAATGTCAGTGAGGATGAAGCTATCAAAATCCCTGAATAGAGAGGTAATGTCTGATCAGTAAATAATAGGAAATTTTGACAAAACAAATAGAAATTGAAGGACATCCAGAAATGGGCAAATAGCCCAGAGGTAAGTGAAGCTTATGCTGAAAAGGGAGGCTCTTGGATAAAAGTGCAGCCAGGATTTTAAATGTGTGTTACAACATTAGGATTCTTGCTATGAAGGCAGGATGACAAAAAGTGTAACAGTAACAATTCTGCTCTTGAAGGTCCTGATTAGTAGTGCTTATAATTTGTAGTGCAGGGAAAGTGAAAAACAAACAAGCGCCAGTTAATCATGCCCTGAAGTTTGTATTCATGGATTTTCTTCAGACTAAAATTAATTTTTTTAAAAAAAAGTCATATTAAGCTATGGGAATGGAAGCCTTGCTGTTTTAAGTGTGAGTAATAGTGAAAAAACTGTTGCATGATACTTCTAGACAATCTGTATGAAAGCTGTTAAGGTAGCGTGCTTTCTTTCTCAACTTCTTTGTTATAAAGAGAGGAAAACATGGAGGAGAATACTTAGGAAGTGAGAAACAACAAAACACCGGGGGATCCTCTGAGGATGTTATCATGCGAGTTTTTAAAAATGTTTAGATTCCTTAAGTTGTAAACTGTCAGGTTTCTTTTCTCTGTTTGAATGTATGTGAAACCCCACAGGTAGCACAATTCTAGTTTAATATACTCTTTTTTTCTTGGTTATTGTTGTTTTTATCTCTCTAGGATCATCTTTTCTTCTTGGATGGATTGATTATTACTTGTTTGTGTTCAATGGGACTTCGAATTCACTTTGTGGTTGACCCTCAGGGTTGGTGCTGCATGGGCCTGATAATCTTTGTTTGGCTGTACAATACAATCTTCATTCCAAAAGTCATCCTTTTTCCTCACTATGAAGAGGGGCATATTTCAGCTGTGGCAATTTTGTGTAAGTCTATTTAACTTAGTCCTTTTCTTTTACTAGCAACAATAGTACATTTGACTAGCAGTTATCAGGCTAAAGAACAAGGTGAAAGTTAAGACTGAAGGATAAAATAAAGGGTAAGAGTACTGGGACATGTTCTGTGTTTTGTGCACTTGTTCCTTTCAATGTTGTTACAGTAAAACTTTGTGGAAAGCAGAGAAAAGCATTTATACACCTTTCAAGTCTTGCAGCTAAGACTTTTTAACTGTATTAAATAGTGTATTTACAAAACATTGATGGACGGTGTCAGAAGTTGTGATGGTAGTACTGATGGTTGAACATTTGAGTTCTCCTAACTCCAAGTGTCCCTTGATGGATGGGTTGGCTGAGTTATGTTGATAGGATCAACTTGTGTAAAAGCTTGTATTATAATTACAGCCATCTTTTTGGTGAAGATCAACCATTGGGTTCCTTTTATCAGAAGATTTTAGAATGATTGGCATTTATTTGATGAGGCAGTGGAGGAGCTTCTTGACACTAATTAATAAGATTGAAGTGACATCTTGCAGCTACTACCAGAACAGTGTTCTCTGCTACTTTTTCCTCTTCCTTTTTGAGATTATTTAACTTCGTAGAATGCATAGCATCAAATGTATATCTGCAATTCAGAAGGCAGAGTAATTTCTAATTTAGTACTGGATCGTGTACATTTTTGCTATAGTGTAAAGCAGTTGTCACTTCAGAATAGTAGGCTGTTTACTGCTATAGACCAAAACTGAGAAAATGCTGTTTCAAATGCTGGGTTGCCCCTCTAGTGTAACTAACATATAGCTTCTTAAACATGAAGATGCTGTAGTTTGAGTAGCAGTCAGATCTTTTTAGATGGTGATCTGTTTTTATCTTTCTTTTTGGCGTAAACAGTTCTGTCATGGTAAATGTCCTAGAGGCTTTAGCTTTGTCATTGCTTTCCATATAATGTTTCTGAGATGGGGATGCTTTATTTTGCTGGGTGGAAGAATGTTAAAGTAAGCTTAAAAATGTCATGTATATAACTCAGAATTTTAATTTTCTTTGGGAATGCCTTCGTTTTTTTGCAATGGTCCTGTGAAAGAAAGATTTGTAGAACAGTATTTTGGTAGATTCAAAAACAACATGGAAGTTTGGAATTATTTTGAATTAATAAATCTAAAATTTGTATGCAACTGTATTCTTTTGTATTCTAAATTTGTATTCTTTAATGTGAGAGATAATGGTACTGCATGCTGTGGTGTGTTTTTATTTTAATTCGTCGTTTAGTACTTCCTGCCATCAAAATGCAGGAATTGAGTTTGGAAAAATTCAGTGAGGCTTTGAATCTTTGCCAGGATGTGGCTCCTTGCAGGGGCATACAGCTGCTTACTGCTTCTAACATCAGTGCTTGACATAAAACTTTTTGTTCACAAGTCTTACTATGTTTATACATCCAGCATTTGTGGAAGATAGATTAGAGGATACATCCACCATCATTCTGGCAAGACTGTTGGGATTTATGAAGGAAGCTAGAGAAATGTGCTGTTTCCTAATAGCTGGGAAGCAAAGCAAAGGATCAGTTTTTACTTGCCAGCTCCTTAATTTCTTTTCCTGGGTACCTGTGATTAGCCAGTGATATGTCAAATAGAGGTCTACCTGGACTTTTTTGCAGATGGTGCAGTATGACAATTCTTGTGTTTATACAACCCACAGGTCAAGTATTTCTCGAGTAGAGTATAATTTTCTTTGGGGTTTCAAAATAGGGTGATTTGAAACATCCATGAATAGCACATAGCAAATTAATGAACTTGATGGGTCTGTAAAGTTATGCTGGTGTTTTCTGAAACATTTGAGGATTTACAGCTGTCCCTATTATTATAGACCTTGTAACTTTGTAAGCCCCTGTGACAGGGACTCATTGAATAGATGTGTAATTTGATGAAACTTGTGGATACCAATACAGAGTCTTGTGATTTTTTTTTTTCTTTAATTTCATCTAAAAACTGAAGAAGTTACTCCTATTTGTTAAATTAGGACCATGGCTTTGCTTACTAGATCTTGGAAAATCAATTAGTTTTGCTTTATATAACTAAAAAATCGTCATAGTCTGTCTGCAGTTTTTTTACACCATTGGAGTTTTATAGTATTATGTGGTTAGTATTGTTTTAATATTTTCTTGTATAGTGTACGTTGAATTTTTATACCTAATAAGTACAGTGGTTTGTTAAATATGTAAAATTTTGTTCGCTATAATGTAAAAAAGCTTATATTTTAAATTTCATTTACATATCCTTTTGAAATTTTAATATCACACTTTCATTTACTTCAAATATGTGTTCTTTTTCCTGCTTTTTACCTGAAAAAGAATAACAAATGCTTATTTTTTCAGGTTATTACCTCTGCTCATTGTTTTGTATAGCTTCTTTAGTAAGAGCCTCAGTTGCTGATCCAGGAAGGCTACCTGAAAACCCAAAGATTCCAATTACAGGTACGTTAAGCTGTTTCTGTTTATCTGAACAAAAATTATTTCAGTGTCATCAGAATAGTCGGGAGATAACATACTGTTTAATTTAATTGAAACCACTGCTGAAGTATATATTGTTACTGAAATGAAAAGCTTTATAACTCACTATTTCTGGCATTTGAATTTCTTGTACTTAGTGTAGACTTCAAGCTTCTTTTTTTTAAACATCCACATTCTATCAGAAGTATGATCATGCAGGAACTTATGCTAGGGCATTTTTTGGTGGCCAGAATTTTGCATTCTGTGCTTTTAAATACATTGCATGCGTTTCAAATGATAATAACAGTTTTTTAGAGATGCATAGTCATTTTAACTCTACTGCTTTTCTTTCTAGATAAATTTATAAGATACTGAAACTAATGGTAGAAGCTGTTGTTGCATGGGATTATACCTGGTTTTTTTTTTCTGTACATTTTATTGCAATAAATTCTGTTTGTATGGACTGTTAACCAAATAAACAGATGGGTTACATTGCATTACAGTAGAGTAGCAACTTAACATTTGAGAATTCCCTCTGTACTTGTGAATTTATTCCACAATTGCTAAATGGTATCTGATGTACTAGAAATTGGAGGGTATTTGAAACCTTAATAATTCTCCAGGGAGAAAGACAATATTTTAATGACCCATTTGATGCTTTTAAGGTGCTTGTCTAGTCCATAAAGCTTTTACGTAGCAGTTGATAATGGAGTATTTAAGCATGAGTTTTGCTGCATAAAAGGAAGATACTTTTTCAATATAGAAAGCATAACAAATCCAGTGAGAAGTGAAAACTTCAGTCTCATCTTGTGACTTTGCATTCCCTTCCTGATGGTAGTGAGAATCTGTTATCGTCAGGACTGATGTCTGCACAAAAACTATGTAGGAGATAATAGCAAAGAATATGCTTGGGATTCAGGTGTGGCATACTGATTGTGGAACCTCTCTTACTGGTATTACTTCTTTTCCCATTATCTAAGCATCTGAGTCAGTAAAAGGAAAGGTTGCAGAGATGTCATTCTTCAGTCAGACTTTTTCTACAGGTAAAACAACATAGAATCTGCAGTCTGAGAGAAGGAAGACATTTAGTACAGCTACAGACATTTACATTTGTGATTCAGTGTATTTCTTCTTTTTCCAGTGAAATACCAGTACCAGCAGGAGCAACTACTTTATGCACAAGCATTTCTTTCTCCTTTAGGGTGTATGTTTGTGTACATCTCCAACCTTTTATCTTCATGCTGCATTCATATCACATAGAAATGAAACTCTGTAGATGTTTCTGAAGATGGAACGCTTAGGCTTGATTGCAGTAATGATATTATGATTTGAGGTGCATCAAATCATATTTAACGTGAATCTAGTTTTTGGTCTTTCTAAAGTAATAATTAGGTTCCTGATATTCTGTGGTTTGATGGGAAGATATATTTTGAATGGTATAAATTATATTCGAAAATGTAGTTGAACTGTGCTATTTGCTACTTTATTGGGGTGTGACACCTTTGTGACACTGGATTTATGGGAACAGATTGTAAAACAGTTTCCATATGGTATTATTACTAGTTTAATGATCTTAGATATTGTGCTTCGCTACTTCTGATGTCTAAATGTTATTTGTCAGCAAGAAAGACAAGATAAGGGCTGCCAGCAGGTGGCTTAAAAAGTGCTAAATTCATCTTTATTTTCTTTATGTAGTGAGAATGTTTTATCGTGCTAAATTTCTGAATGATCTGTAAAAACTTATTTTCTTTCCCTGGGATTTAAGAAACTTATGTGCATCAAAAAATTACTGTTTAAAATATTTAAGATTCTTAATCTCGCAGCCACTGCCTTTAAAGACAGAAAATATAGTATTTTTTTTGGATTGAATTATTACAGTGTTAGTGCCATTTGTTTCCCAGGTGTAGATGAACTTTCTGAGTGCACCATTAAATTTCATATTTTCAAAGGCTTCCTCTGATTTCAGTGACAGGATTTGGGAAAATAATAGGTAAGCTGACCAATAGTTGCTCCTATCAATTTCAGCTGGTTGGTATTTCTGGAGATCAGTTTAATGCATCTCATGTGGGGCATAGAATACTAGTGTGTATTCTTAAATAAAAGCCTATCTTATGTTTGTTTCAGCGTTTCATCTTGAGATTCATCTCTTCATCTCTTAGCATACTTTGAGATGGAAGATGCTTCAGAAGTGTTTATAGTGTGTTTTATTTTAGTTGGCTGTATTTGAACAGTATGAGTCCTCAAGGTTTTGGAATGGCAGAGAGAGTGCATGATGGTTCTGTTTAAAAAGCTGCTTATTGTACTCATCTCATAGTAAATTTGTTTTTTCTCCTCATGTCACTAGGATATGTGTTTATTATGAGTGTGCTGTACTGAGTTCAAATCTTTCTAAGGCTGTCTTTACAATTTCCCCTAGAAAGAGAATTTTGGGAATTATGTAACAAATGCAATATGATGAGACCAAAGCGTTCACACCATTGTAGTCGTTGTGGACATTGCGTGAGGAGGATGGATCACCACTGTCCATGGTAAGACCAGGGCATTTATTCTAATGATCTTGTACTGTTATAGTTTGTCTTTTTCAAAATTCGTGGTTAGATTATTGTGTATTTGTGCCCTTTCTTTCCCAGTAATGCTGAATCATTCAGGCGCTTTAGTTCACCGTAAGAAGAGCTTAGGGTTTCTTTTTTGTGTACAAGTAAAACTAAGAAAAATTACTGTTGCAATGTAACATTTAATCATTGACAAATTGTTATATATCATACAATTTTCTAAAGTTTGTGTATTTTATTTTAAAAGTTGCAAGTTTTACTCCTTTAGTTACACTGATGGCAGTGTAATCATATGTTGCATGTTTATTTGTTGCAGTTTAGTTTCTTGTGCTGGGAAAATATTTTTTTTGTAAGAAATTAAGTTTAATATTTCTTGGATGGAAATAAAAATTACAATTTCAATACAAAAATGAATGTTTTTTGTAATACTGAAAATATTTCATGGTTTTTATACAGTTTTTTATTTTTAGTTCACCTAATGTCTGTGCTGGTTAGAAAACTTTACTGCCATATAGCAAATCCCATTTGTCATGGTCTCTCTTATTTTTTTGTGAAATTGCTTCTTTCATTATTCTTGATTACTCATGGTCAGTCTGGCTAAGATTCTTTGTTTAAAGTAAGTCAGCCTGATTGTTGCTTAAAATGAAAGTAAGTTTTGCCATCAGTTGTTCTGTGGCATAATTTCCATCAAAGAAACAGACAAAATGAAAAAGATAGAATAGAGGTCAGGATCATTCTGTATTGATGTAGCCTTTTTCAAACTAGCCTTTCATCTGTTTGCAACTCAGACAATAGTGCCAGTGTAATGTGTTTGACATCATGTCTTAGTGTTGTGCTGTTGTCTGTGCCAGTGCTTGTGCTGGAGCTACTGTGCTTGTATGAAGTTATAATTTAACCCTAACCAAATTTTATGCATCAATATAATAACTTCTGTAAAGGAAATGAAGCAAACTAGACCTAGATTTCAAAGGTTTGGATCTCTGAGTTAACATTTCTAGAGTCCTTGAGATTCTTTTGCTCCTTTACATCAGAAGAACTGCAGAAGGACTTTCTGAATGGGGATAACTGTTTTTCTTCTCCTGTGTCTTACATTTTTTTCTTAGTCATGTTTATTTGTCACCCTGTGTTCAGATTTAATACAAATTTTTAATTGCGTTTCTAGCTTTTGGACTACATCACTCACTACTGGTGGAATGTTATTAGTGGAGAACACATACTAAAGTGAAGTTTTGCAGATATTTTTATCTTGTTACCTGAGTATTTCTTGAAAATGTGAGTGTATCATTGCTGTTTGAAGATGAAGGGAAGTGAGTTTTGTAATCTAAGCAGTAATTTCAGTAAGGCAGCTTAGATTTTAAGCAACCAAGTAGCCTCTTTACAGTAACTGCCATCTCTAACATGGAGGCGATTGCTTTGATTAAGGATGGAGTTATCGTGTGTAGTCCTTACGTTTGACCATAAATAATCTTAACTTTTCTTAAGCATAATTGGTAGTTCTGTAGCCTGACTAATTCATAAATAATGTTGACAAGCCTTTATATTTCAATCTGTGTATACTTTGTTTCTCTGCAGGATTAATAATTGTGTTGGTGAAGACAATCATTGGCTGTTTTTACAGCTGTGTTTCTACACTCAAATTCTTAGTTCCTATACGCTGCTACTTGATTTCTGCCATTACTACTACTTTTTGCCTCTGAAAAAAGATAACTGGGTAAGAATTTCTTTTCTCCCCAGGCTGAATTAATGGCTAGTATTGTAATATTTTGATTACTAGACATTCCTTTTGGTTCTCTTATTAAGAGTGAAAAAAGTACGTGCACATGTATATTGTGAAGTAAGCAAATTCATTATGGAAGTAACAATATATGCTAAAACAGTTCATGATTTTGAAGTGTTAAAAACCTAACGTCAGTTTTCTTAGAAATCTGGAAAAGGAGACAAAACAGCTAGATTCCTTTAGAAGTGATTACTCAATTCTTGTATAAAGCAATGTAGCTACTTCTGATATTTTCCTTTTTTTTTTTTTTTTTTTTTTTTACTTTCTCTAAAGTAAATCAGAATGGTTTTTTTCTGTACAAAGTACATACTGGAAAATTGTGATACTGCTAGAAGATTGAGAATGTATGATCATTCTGAAAGGTTAAAAGCACACATTGGTTTGGAAGCAGTATTTTGTCCTGCTTGGAAAACATCATGTGGGCTAAAGGAAAACTAAATTTGATTTGTTTTACATGGATGGTGTGCTATTATTATATTTCAAAGTCTTGTCTTCAGCAGAATGCCTTTGGACACACACACAGGAAATTAAATTATACATTGAAATAGAGTGAAAAGATGTTCTACAGTTATGGAACTGAAGTTGTTAAGTGCTTGTATCTAGTGCTTATTTGTTTACTACCTGTAGCATTCAGAATATTCAAGAGGTTGGCCTGAAATTTGCAGAATGCTTGTAAGTGTTAGAATAGCAAAGCTGATACTCCTTACTTTGAGGGAAAAAAAAAAAAAGAAAAAGTTATGAGAGCTTCCTCATAAAAATTCATAAAAACCTCTCCCTAAAATGTGAAATAAGCTTTATTTTTGTCCTAAAATATGCAAGCACAAGCTGACAAAATAGAAAAACCTAGAAAAGAAGGTACATACAAAGATACAGTAACCATTCCAGAAATTTGTAGTGCACATTAAATTTTATTGAGGTTTTCTTGTAAGTGCTGTAGATTTTTTTTTATTCAGTGTTGATGTGACACCCCGTTGCTCTCTCTGCTGGTAATAAATATTACATTTATTTTTGAAAAGTGCTGTAGGCTAGCTCTACAATGTGAGTAAGGCAGGTCTCATTTTCTGTTTTGTTGAACATCTTAAGTTTCTTACCTTATTTTGTATCCTCAATGATGTAAAATAAGAGTGCTAAGCTTTCTGAAAAATACTGTTTCTGGAAGGGAATGATGGGGCATCACCTCCTGAGATCCTTCTTTACTCTCATGTCGTTCTGCAATGCTCCCAGAAAAGCATACATGAACATGATGTGTCAAAGGAGAGATAAAAGGTGTAATAAGAATGCATTTTTTGGATCATCCAGAATTCATAGAAATGTTAATGTGAAGTTCATAGATACCAGCTTCATATTATATCGAATTTACCAGAATTGAGGATTTTTGTACCTCACTAAAAAGAGATCATTTTCATTTGCAAGATATTTCCTATTTTATTTTTTTAATCTACATGATTATTTCCTTTTAAATGAGTCAGAGGTCTCTAGTAACATGGGAATCAGAATTTGCTGGCTGCATGGATCATCTTTACATAGACAGTACCCTTCCATCTGAGGCAGACTACAGAGTAATGTCTAGAGGATTTTTATATAGTTAAGGGTAGCAGCTAAGCCTTCACAGCAGCTTGCTCACTTAGTCCCAGTGACCTAGAGAAGAGAACTCTAAGGGTAAGAGTGTGAAAACTCACTGACTGAAAGACTGTTTAATAGGCAAAGCAAAAGTTGTCTGTGCAAGCAAAGCACAAGAATTCTTTCATCCCATTGACAAATAGATGTTCAGACAGATATTTAGCCATTTCCAGGAAAGCAAGGCTCCAACAATTGCTGAGGTCACTTTGGAAGACAAACACCATCACTCCAAATATCCCTCCCTCTTTCTTGTTTCCTCTAGCTTTAACTAGTGAGCATCATGTCACATGGTACATGATACCCCTTTGATCAGTTGAGGTCAGCTGTCCTGGCTGTGTCCTATACCATCTTTTCATAAACTCCTACACCAACTGCTGGAATGGGCATCATGAAGAATGCAAAAGGCCTTGACTCTGTAAGCACTGCTCAGCAACAGATAGAAAATATCAGTGTTATCAGTACTGTTTTGGCTGCAGATTCAAAACTGCACTGTATGAGCAGCAATGAAGAAAACAGCCTGCCGTACCCCAAACCAGTATGCTTGTCTGTATTAAATCAAAGAATGCTCACATTTTTCTCGTTCTTTCCAGTCTGTTGTCTGTTAATGGGCTTTTTATGTTCACCTTGCTATAAAAGCATTGCGTGATTTGAAGGAGCCATTTCAATTTTTTTTTAGCTACAGTTAAGATAATAAGGATGCAAAATTCCAGTGTTCCTTTATTAGTGATAAGAAGTCTGTCATCTGTGTAAAATTCTAGGTAGATGTGTTGTATTTTCAGATTTTGGAATCTTAATATTTTTGAGAGGTGATCAAATGTAAATGCCTTTGCTTTTAGTTTCAGTAGCTTTGTAAGCTTTGTATTTAGTAAAATAAGCTAACTTATCACATCTCAGGACAAGATGAATCATAAACTGCCTCTTGTCTTCCCATGCACAGAATTTTCTGGTTCCAAGTGTAGACAGCTTGTAATGACTTAGATGTGAATACTGGAATGGGCATTGCAGTGTTACTGTAAAGACTGTTTTTTTTTCTTTGTATGGCATATGCAGTACTTCTCTAATAGTAAAAAAAATTCCCTTTTTATTGGGAGAGTATCCTGAATGTTATAACTTTTAAGCAATTTCACTGTCTTTACATCATGAGCCCAAATTCTGTCAGCATTATTTTTTAAAAGTAGTTTGGAAGGGAACCAAATTCCTTACTTGGAGGCGGTGTATGCAAGAGAGGAAACAGAAGATCATATTTGCTTCAGTCCATTTACAGCCTGTGCATGCTAATAATAGTAAATGGTTTTAGAAATGAATGCATGTTGAAGTTTGTTCTTAAAATTGGGCAGATTTCATATCTTTTAGAGACAAATATAGTTTTAATATATTATATACTGTATATCTATATATTACATAGTATATAGTAACCTAAATAATGAATCTGGTTCCTGTGTTATTGACTGCCTAGACTTAGAGTCATGGGGCAAAAAACCCACACCACAGTGGGTTTGTTTTGTTTCAGTTGTGTTGTTTTTGGCTCATGCATGTATGGACACCTCATATGACGCTCTTGCTTTTGAAAAATGGGATCTGTGTTACTGTGTATCACATACAAATGTAGTAGAAAAATTAGGTAGACAAAGCAGGTCTGATCTTTTCAGATCTTTTTTAAGACTGATATTACTCTTAATATTAATCAGCTTTCTTAGTTTTTTACATGGAGAACCTGGGGCACACCCTAAAATTCAGAAAACGAAGAATAATTTGCTGGGGAGTCTAGTCAGTATTTCTGCCTGGAATATGACACCAGAGCCCCACTGGACTCATTATTCCAAGTGCAGCTAAGATTGTTTTGTCATAAAATTTTAAGCGACAGAATTGTTTGTCCAAATTGTGGTTTTTTTTTATATCAGATGAACAGTGTGAAAATTTGGTTCTAAGTAGGCTTTTAGTCATTTGTCTTGCAAAGTTCTTTCAGTTTTCAGATATTAATTAAGCTTGAAGTACTACAGTGTTTTAGAGACTGCAGTATATTCCACCTTTCGTGGAAATACTGTTTGTTGTAGAAATTTTGGCTTTGTCTGAGAGCTTGCATTTTTCTAAGCTGACGGGCTAGTGTTTAGCACCGATTCAAAAACCTGGGTATTTTTTTCTACACAGCCATCTGGAATTAGCCTTCCTGCTCATTAAAAACACTTGTGATTTTTTTTTTGGCTGTGTGCCTTCCTCTCTCTTAATTTTTATTTTTTAAATATTAAATAGAACAAAATACAGATGCTGTGGAATTAAAACCACTTTTAATAATTTGTGGTATAATCATTTTATCATAGTACTGATTAATTCATGAGTAAAATATTATCAGTGTTTTTGCTTGCTGGCATTTATTCCCAGGTGAAAATAATGCATTTTGAACTTCAAAGGCAAAGAGAAACGTGGACATTTTAAATTAAAAAAAAAAAAAAAAAAAAGTAAGGTAAAGGTGATAGCTTTAAAGCTAATAGAGGAAGCTGTTTCAACAGAAAGAAAATGGTTTATCTTCAGGTTTTACATAGTATTCTTGGATCTTGTAATTGGTCTACTGTCAGAAGGATAGCTTGTGGTTATTGCTTCTATTTGTCCAGCAGGAGGAGTGCAATTACTACTAGAAACAAAGGAAATAATTAAAACGTCTGTGGAGGATCCTAGCAGAAAACACTGTGGTCCAAATAAGACTGCTTATGAGTTCTTTGGCTTTGATGATCAAAAATATTTGATTTTTGGAAGCTCAGTCTAAAGAGTTGTGTCTTCATTAAAATTCTGAAGGTTGGGGAATCTCTATTCCTTAGATTGTATTCAGTGTTGCAGATTGTGAAATAAGATTAATGAAAGATGTTAGGAAACATTTGTTGAAACTTGTGAGAATATTATTTATAGAAAAAATTATTTGAATAGTATTTATGCATTGATATTAAATGAAATCTAGAAATAGGAATCATTCTATTCTTTAGTCTTGAGACACTAAAGGAGACATTTTTCCTTGGGGTTATGAAATGACCTACAGGACGTATGAGGTGTTTTTATGTGTTAAAAACAAATTAGCCTCCTTGGTTCTCTGCAAAAGCAAAACAAAAAACAGCATAGCCTCCTGTATAGTTACAGGGACAGTATATGAATTCTTAATAAAATTAAAAAAATAAATACATTGTCTGCATTGAGGAAAAAAAAAAAGACTGAGAGGATAACACTTTTTAAAAACTTGATCTGTTGGTAATGTTATTTTTATGCTAAGGTTGTTTTCCCTTTTAAACTCTTTTCTACGTCTAAAGTAATTTCAGAATTATCACTGGATTGAGCTCTGTGTAGACAATTAATTTTATAGTTGGAGTTCTTTTTGCATTTTAGTTTATTTTTTGTGTGAGTGAATTTCCTCTCCTCCAAAACCTGTATTCTGTGAGTTCTTTTCTGCTTTTTTCTGCTTTTTTTTTTTTTTTTTTTTTTTCCCCTAACGTAGCAGCCTGGCTTTCTTCTGTATTCTGCACTGTTTTTGTGATATGTAGATTGATAGACTGACTTTATCACCAGACTGAGACAAAAATGCCAGACATTTGAAACTGAGAGTAAATACGCAGATTATGGTGCATGGAGCTTATTCTGTGTTCCTTTCCTAGGAGAAACATGGAATGTTACTGTATTTTGTTAGCAATTAATATACTATGTAGCATGTTTTTGTAAAGAAGCAGAATTGAGTGAGTATTACTTCTTAAACGCAAATTTATGAGGGTTGATGGTTGTTTTTACTTTGTCTGATCTGGAAAAGATACTGTAGTCCTGGATTACTTCTGCTGGGAGCTGTGTCCTCTGTACTAAGTGTGCTGTTCTTAAAATAGTAAACCCTGGGGAATAATAGCAATAATGGTCGTATCATTTATAATGACCTTGGGCTGTACTCATCAGTTTTGACCTTTTTCTTATATGTAAGGATGAACTTGTAACAGTCTTAGTGGTCAACATTAGTATGCGTTACAGGGATCATCCATGACAGCTGATGCTTAGAAATGAAGACATGGTGTATGCTCTGCCATAGGGTAGAGACAAGAGAAAGTCTTGTGTGACTCTGTGTCATGGAGATTTGCTTTCTGTGGAAAGTGTTGGTATTACTTTTTGAGATAAAGGTGTTATAGCTTGCAATACAGCCCTCACTTTCTTATTCTGTGCCAAATTTCTGTTCCACACGTTTCTATCCATGTCTTTTTGCAAGTAATCCCCAGTCTTTCTGGTTTGTACCAGAAGGTACAGGTAGAAGTAGTGGCTAATGGCAGCTTATAAGCCTCATTTAACAGGCAAAAAAAATATGTTGGGGAAGCGTGAAAGGGACACAGCATATCTGAGCTACATAGGAAGGAAAAGTGTGGCAACAAGCCATTTGTACTGATAATTAGCCAGAACAGTCAGACTGTGATGTTAACCAAAAAAAGAGAAGGGGGCTGGCTACCTAAAGTGCTGCTTTTATTGTTAAATCAGTGTATATTACGTCTGTGGTAAGACCACTGATGTCAGCCGGGCCACATGTGGAAAAAAGCTGCTATGAGACAAAATTCTACTGCTAAGAGAGAAAGTTTGTATATTGATGATTAGTTTACGTATGTTTGTGTAGTTCTTGCTCTGAATGCAGTTTGTGTGATTTTGGAGACAGAGGCAAGCTATGTTAGTATGGTTAGTACATTGAGATGAGTGAGTCCCTAAATTATGTTTGAACAAGAGGACATTTGAAGAGGGATCAGTTACTTATTGTCTAGTCTCAGGGCTGGTTTATGGTACCTTTCTGTGGTTTTCTTACAAGGAATTTTTTTTTTTTTTTTTTCAGTCCTGAGAAAGAGTAATAAAAATAGATTGAGATGAACTCATATATAACGCAACAACATCCTAAATGTATAATTATTATAAAGGAAAGACATGGAGCTCTTGGAGCGGGTGCAGAGGAGGGTCACTAAGATGATCAGAGGGTTGGAGCACCTCTCCTACGAAGAAAGGCTGAGGGAACTGGGCTTATTTTGCTTGCAGAAAAGAAGGCTCCAGGGAGACCTCATTGTGTTCTTCCAGTACTTGAAGGGAGCTTATAAACAGTAGGGGGGACAGCTGTTTACAAGGGTGGATAGTGATAGGACAAGCAGGAATGGTCTTAAACTGTCACAGGGGAGGTTTAGGTTAGATATTAGGAGGAAGTTTCACACAGAGGGTGGTGAAGCACTGGAACAGGTTGCCCAAGGAGGTTGTGGATGCCCCATCCCTGGACACATTCAAGGCCAGGCTGGATATGGCTCTGGGCAGCCTGGCCTGGTGATTGGTGACCCTGCACATAGCAAGGGGTTGAAACTACATGATCATTGTGGTTCTTTTCAACCCAGGCCATTCTATGATACTGTGGTTATCATTGCTGCAATTTAAATGAATTCCTTTCAAAATGTTTCTTGCTTTCATGGAATGACACGTTTCTGTATCACAGTAAAATTGCAAAAGTAGCTCTATTTCTGCAAATGGTTTGGTTTCTGCAGAAAAGTACTGTCTTGTTTCTGCAGATTGCTAGGCGACAGCTCAGTAGTGACTTCTAGTTCATCACTGCATCAGAGACTTTGATTCCCCTAGGGACATACAATGGCTGGGGAAAAAATACATAAGATGTCACCTCTTCTCATTAGTAATTCAGCATTTTAGCTTCTTTTGCTGTAGAAACTTTCATGTTTTAGGGAGGAAGGAGAGATAGAAAGGAGTTCCTGGTCTTCAATAAAAGAGAATTAGATTTTCTTTCACTATATCAAGCCTGGTAATACTGACTTGAGAGAGAGACTTTCTTGTCTTATCATGAGTTCAAAGGGAAAACATAAGCTGTGTTCCTTGTTACTTACAGTAAGATTTTATTTCGTATTGGATGATTTTAAAAATGTATTTACTGTTTTCTTCTGATGACTGTGTTCAAGAGAAGAGTTTGTCCATCAAACTCTTGGGAGGTTGTACTGCTTTTATTAATGGGAATATGTAATGCTAGACCCAGAATGTGACTTCACTGCTGGCAGTCTTCTTTTACATCTTAGTGTTTTCTGTTAAGATAAGGATAAATGCATAGAAACATTTCAGATCAACAAAACACTGTATCTATGAAGATATGAAGATATTTTAAATATCTTGTAGAACTATCTTAGTGTTTTACCTTGTTTTTCTTTAAATGTTGGTGTAGGTGGTTAAAGGGGAAACTGAAATTATCATGGCTGATTTTGAGATAGTGTAATTTTGAATTAACTGGTTGACTGAATAAAAAACAGTTAAATAGAATGAAAGTGAATATGTTCCCTATATCTGTAAGAAAAGCTAGTCTTAACAAGAGCTGGCTTACCAGTTTAGAAAAAGAGAGTGCGTTTTGATTTTTGGTTTTTGATTTAGCTGTTTAGTTAGTGATTTCTAGTTCTTCCAGTTATTATTTACTTTAGTAGCCACTATAAACTTCTTCCTGGCTTTATATTTTGAAACTTAGTGGAAATAAGGGTAAAATCCTATGCCTTTTAAAATTGTGTGCGCGCGTGTGTGTGTTCTCAATTAAACCCCAGTGTTCCTGAATTTGAGTTCTTCTTCCTTGACTCTTAGTGGTTGAGTGTAAAGAATAAAAGTTCAAAAGCAGTAGGAATCTTTTTTTTTTTTTTTTTTTTTTTTTCATTCACTTCACTTTTATGTTCTGGTTGTAATTTATAGTTTACTTGAGAGGTTTTAATAGTTTCCTGCTGTGATCTGGCTTTTCTGAGTGGGAGAACAGATGTGTACATTCAAAAGACAGCCTTGAGAACATAATCGTGACTTAAAACTAAGAGAATGGCTGTGCTAATTCATTATCAAAGGATAAGATGGGGTGTGAACTTGCAGTACATCTACAGTAACTGCAATGTACAACTGTTTTCTTGTGGTAAAAATAAGATGCTTTATCCTTTGAAAAAAAAGCTTTAAAACTCTCTTGTGATTTTCATATTTTCTACTGGCTAAAATCAGACTTCCTAGAGCAGGTGGTACAGTAAATTCGTATCCTCTGCTCTGAGACAGCTTTTTTTGTGCACCAATATCCAGTGTGATAAACCATCACTAGGGGCTGAGTAAAGATAAGTTAATGTGGAATAATAGGTGGCATTACAGTTAGGCCAAGGAAATTGAGATACTTTGATTTTTTAGATATTGTCTTTAAGCTAGGAATGCTACTATTTTTATGATAAAGAGATGGTGCTAAAATGAAATTTGTTGTGGCTGTGAGACATTAAGTTCTATGCATTACACTATTTAACATAATGGCTTTGTTATATTTTAAAGCTCGTGTATAACAGTCTGACGCTGATGAAGGTAGAAAAATGAGGAACAACTCATCTGAGCTTAATATATTCCCTCAATTTAAATACCTGAATTTTTAGCAGAATAGTGAAAAAACTGTTTATGTACATAAATGATTGTTCTATAATTTTAACATACAAATAACTCAGTGATTTGCCACATAACTTAAAATCCGGTGTTTGCTTCTAGCTGTAAATCATCTAGAATGGTTCTTATCTAGTATGTGCAATCAGTTCAAAGATTTAAATTAACTTTTATGTTCTAAAGTCTCTTTTTGTCTTGTTCTAGGACTTTTTTGTATTTAGACACGAACTTGCTCTTCTAAGAATATCTGCCTTCATGGGTATAATAATATTAGGCGGAATAAGTGGACTCTTTTACACTCAGCTAATTGGTATTTTCACTGTAAGTATCTAATCCCTTAATTTTAAAAATAGGTATTCATTTTATTTTTGATAAAATTAATAAAAACAGAAAAGCATGTTGTATTTTAAGAATAGAGAAATCCTCTCACTATTTCCACTTATTCGTTATGTGATTTATCAAAAGTCTGTTTTCAAGGAAATATTAAGAAGCCTTCTGTCAAACTGGTGTCTGATAATTCACCTATCAAAGCAATTTCCTGACTTGTGTTAATAAAATAAAACCTTACATTGTTATGGATTGATAAAGCGTACAAAGTACTTACTTTGCTATATTTTGATATTTGTTTTTAATTTTAAACTTTTATATGCCATGGTCTCAGTCTTTATGACAGTGAGGCCTGCTGATAAATCATACGTTTTGAGAACATATACTTTTTCTTAAGTATGTTAATAAACAAGCTTTCATATCTTCTCAGTTACTCAATTGTGCAATGAGAATGTATTATATTAATTGTTACAGTACAAATTCAAATTCTATACTTAAATGTAGAAACAAGAGTAACCCAGAAAACCACTTCTACATGGAAATGTTTCACACTTAAATTAATTTAGTAATTTAATAAATGTTTGTGAGACAAAAACACTAGTTCCTTCTTTACATTAGAAATTAATCACTGCTAGTGAATGCTGTAGAACTGCATTAAGAATACATAGAAATGTATAGAGCACTCCAGTGTTGAACAGGAGTAAGCCTCTACATATCTAAAAGAATTATGATCTGGTTTGCCAGACATTTTTTAGACATAATGAAGTACAAGATAACTGCATCTTTGTGACTACAGCTGATTGAGATCTACCTGAGAATTAATTCTGGCATTACCAGGGTTTGTGTGCTAACCCACCAGATGCATAATGGAAAACCTTCTAATTGTAATGTGTAATCCCTTTGTGTGGAATAAAGGAAACAATGCCGTAAATTTTGAAATCTTTTAGATAAAAATAATATTGTTTTCATTGTGTTTTCTTTCTTTTTCTTTCTCTGAGTTACTGCCTTTGATCCTTCAGTGACTGTTGCAAAACAATATGCCGTCTAGCAATCTTCCAGCATTCTGAACTCTCAACTCTAGCTCTGTTTACTTTTTGCACCTCTTTGTGGTGTGCCTGATTTCTCTGTTCCAGGGTCTGGCTGATAAGTCAACTCTGTTTAAATGCCTGCGCACATCTTTTATGTCTGTGTAGAGTTAGAGTTTAGAGTTTTGCCTTGTTAGGTATCTAGCTAAAGTGGTGCAGACATCTGGATTCTACTCCCTCTCCCTCTGGTGGAGGGAGACAAGAAGCCTTAATGTTCATATGCTGAATTGTGCATGTCTTTTGAGACTGTTTAATGGTTATATGAGAAGAAACAAAAAAACATGCTTTCAGTACTACTCCAGAAATGATGCAGGAGAGAACAAAACAAACCCTACATGTATATGGCAGTATAATTCTGCCTGTTGCTGCCAGAAGCAAAATTAAATTTTGGCACTGTCAGTGTCCACCTATACTGTTAATATACATGAAAGAAAAACTGAGTGAAACCAATTGTCAGACATACCTAAAACTTGGAACATTTGTATTTTGGAGCAAAATACCTACTGTACTGCCCCTGTGATGCACATGAACTCTTAGTATGTTCTTTCACCAGTTTGACCCCTTATGCAGTTAGACTGCCACCAGCCTAGAAAATAATACTGAAAAGCTGCATTCTTTGTGCCAGTTCTGTAACACACTGTGTTGAACATCCCGTTGCAACTATTGAGCTGGCTACTGCCCTGAAATAGGTAGGAGCTGAAAATAATGTTTTCAAGACCAACCTCATTTTCTGTTGATTGTCGAGCTCCAGCATGCCTAGATAATTTCTTTTGTCATATTTGACAAACAAACTCACTACAGAATTGCACATATAGATATACAGTCTCTAAGAGTCAGACAGCAGAAGGTACAGGTCTGAAGTAGGGCCTGTTACTGCACTCTGCCTGAAGTAGAACTTCTATGCCTGCCTTTTATGCACAGTGTTTTAGGTCTGGGATTACTGGGAAGTAGAAATCTGTAATTGGGATTTCTGTTCACACCACGTGACTACTGTTGCATTGACTCATTGAATGTAGGCTAGAAGGATCTTCTGAAGGTTAAACCCTATGCAGCAGGGCCAGCTGCATAGAAAGGTTTATTCAGTGATATTCTCAATCTCCTCAGTCAAATATATCCAAATACAGAAGCAACACAGTCTCCCTGTTCAACCCGTTTCAGTGTTTCAGTCCTGCTAGTCAAATTTCAAACAAAAAAACCCCAAATCTGTTGTTGAGGTTGTGCTTAGACTGTAACTTGTGTCAGAAAATCCAGCTGCACAGTATTGTAGTGTGGGGATTTGCTTTCTCCATAAGCAGTTCCCAAAAGTTTTGGGTAGCCAGTGAAAAAGGCAGGTGAGAGGGCAACAGGTGAGTAGTTTCAGGGCTCCCCAAAGGCACTTGTGATGGTTTGAATAGGGAAACAAAGAAAATGGATGTGTCCACCCACAGTGCTGAGTGCAATGTAGATGCATTTATGTCCTGTAGAAAAAAAATAAAATACGGTCGCTTAGAAATAGTAGTAACGTGCTTACCGTGTTGGAGTTCAGCACCAAGCATTCCAGCATGAATAGAGCAAACTTTGTCTGAAGTGAAATATATTTAAAATGATGAATTCATGATGAATTCATTGTAAGGTACAGATAAAAATTTACCACAGTTTAGACAATTAGAGACTAGTAGTGCAGGCTTGAGGTTATTTTAAAAGAAACGTATGCATAGGTGTGCACAGTTACTTTTAATTGCTCTGATTCTTGAGATCATGCACTTGCTGAAACAGCACAGATATCTCCAAGTGGGATGGGAGAGAGCATGAGCCTCTGTTTAGATGAGCTAAGTTCAAGTTTGTTGGGCTTTATCTTTGTTATTTACCTGCATTTCAAATTCTGCCAAAATTGGATTTTGAAAGGTAAAAATGAAGATTTATCTAAATTTGACTCTTAGTGTAGCAAAACTTTTTGGTTCTCCGTAAAATGAGCTTGCATTGTATAACTTTTTAGACACCAAGCCAATAGTTTATATTTCCAGTCTCTAACAAAAAGCAATAGAAGCACCTAAGGCTTACTGTCAGTCTCACAGAAGCAGCGTGCTGTGTGAAACCATAGTTTTCTTCCTTCTTTAGTGTCATCAGTAGTAAAGAGCTAGTACCTGAAATGACACCTTCTGGCTTCTGTGTGCATGGATGGTTTCCACAGTGATGACTGCTCAAATATAAGTGATTGGAATGTAGCTCAGTTCTGAAGCAAGATAGGTACTGTCTGGTTCAGAGCACTCTGGTGCTTGTGCTGATTGTTCATGCTTATAGAAGTAAAATTGCTAGTTTATCTTTTTTTGCTACAGCAGCAGGACAAGTGAAGTTGAATATATGGAATGCATTTGCATGTTGTTCCCTTTTTATACGTCACTTTTCTGAGCAGAATTCCTCTTTAAAGTAAGTGAGCTATTATTGCTCAATAAGCCATATGATTTGAGAAATGTTGGCGTTTTCTCTCCTTGGTGCTTTCTTTTTCTGAAGTCAGAAATGTCTAACTTGTGACAGAGAGAGCATACCCAAGATACTCAGATATGCTTGAAATAGCTAAAAATAGCAAAACATATTATGAAATGCAGGTGTGGTATTCTGCCTTGTGTGCTGACACTTGCTAAATTCCAGTGTTGCTCTGAAGTTGTCTGATCTATGTCACTGTGCAAGTCTTCTTGGTTAAAACAGCAGATTCTTTATGTAAGAGTTCCTGAACTAAGAAAAAAGGGGGTGTTATCTTCTGTTCTTTTTTAACAAGTGTGTTCAGTGGGTACCTGGTGTAGGGAACCTGCTTTGGCAGAGGGGTTGGACTCGATGATCTCTGGAGGTCCCTTCCAACCCCTACAATTCTGTGATTCTGTGATAGATGCTTGGATAAAGTCTTGTCTCTGATAAAAATAAAGCCATTGTAACTTGCGTATGTGTGGCTCTTGTGCAAAGTGATTACCAGACCAAGTTACCCAATATGCATTAATCTTTTTGAGAATGTATTCCACTCTTCATACTGTGATATTACTGCTGGAATATCTTGAGCACGCTGCTATTAATATCTCATCTGAAGGTTCAGGCAGTCAAAGAGCAGGGGAGGTGACTTCCCACAATGAGAGTAGAGCAGCTGGTTGGCAAAAACTGTCCTTAGAAGAACTTTTGACATGAATTATTCTCATGAACTGGGGAGCAGCTGAGGTGGCCACTTTATATGAGATTAGTGCTTTCTCCCTAGAAACTAGCATATGTGTAACACTCTTGTAGCGGGAAGGGCACGTGGCTCTTGTCATTCTCCTGCAGTTCTTTCCCAAAGCTCTGTTTGCCTTTACTCTTCGGATCTTCATGAATTTTAGCACTTTTTCCTTTTTTGCATAACTTGGAGATAAAAATAACTAAATTATGTCTAATTTAGAAATCTCTGAAACAAAGAAAAAAACTCAGATTGTAATTCAGGGGATACTCTTCTTAAATTCTCAGCATAACAGTCTTATTACTAGCCATTTTTGTGCTTCTGTAGAGCTAGGTGGTAGAAATCAGTTTCACCCAAGAAATAAGATCATGTAGTATTGACAGCCTGCTTGTTTTCTGTGCATTACACTAGCTTTTTCAGTCTTCTATTCCCTGTCATTGTTTGTCCTGCAAATTTAAGTTTTGTTTTTCTTAACAGGAGATGAGTTAGTATTTGTAGATTTCTGGGCAGCAAAGGCAAGTTTAGAATAGTACAGTAAGTTTAAAAAAAAAAAAAATTGTTCTCCTGCTGTAAGTAATTATTACTGGTATCACTTAGTTCAGATGGCTTCTAGCTGGGACTCTCCTGTGAGCAATTATTTCTCAATCACTGCAAGAAGAACAAGTTAACAAGATAGCTCTAGTACAGGTGCTTCCAAACTACTTCATCAAGGCAAAGAGATGTTTAATATATTT